CAAGATAATGATGGGATAGCATTAGGAGGAAACGGTAAGAGATACGGGGTGGCTCAGATTAGAAAAAAGTTGTATTTTTTATACCTAACAATATGCTGTTATAAAATTCCGTGTAGGTCCGGAGATATCTGGAAAAACCCGAAATTTTTCAAAATTGTTTAATTTTTTCTGGCTTTATTTGAAAACGAATTTTAAAATAAATTACATATTTACAATGCCACTTTTTTCGCTCTATATAATGGCGTCAACATTTTTGCAATCCGACGTTTCGTCTTCGAGGGGCCATCATCGGGTTAATTTGTTTAAATACGTCGCTGCTATTTTTATGACAAAATCTAGTCATTTTTAATTCTGAATTAGAGGATATTACTATTGTAATTGCTTCAAAAGTGTTTAGCTTGTTTTAGCTATAATTTAAAATTTTTCCTGAGTACGGCTCTGAACGCTTTCAAAATATCTATTGGATGAAGTCATAACAGTATAAAAGTCAATACCGCANGAACTGTGATTACAAATTTTTTTATTTCACCAAAAAGTATATGTCAAAACGAAAAAAATGATTATCGGCAGAACTCTGTACGATGATTTTTTTAAGTAGAATTTTTATTTGAAAAAAAAGTCAGTCCGAAAAAAATGAATATCTCAGAAACTTCTTCATTTTTTTATCTAAAAAAATTTGAGGTTATTTAAGACAGAGAAAGGTATACTTTCACCAAGTTTCGTCAAAATTAAATTATTTTTGCGGAAATGAGAAATAAAAAACGAAAAATCAGAAAGAAACCTGTTTTTTCTCGGAAATGTTGAGGTTATGTTAAAAAGTGACCTCTACAAAAGTTGTAGACTTTTCCATGATCTACAACTTTTGTATTGGATACTTTTTTGTTTGACGTCAACTTTCGTCAGAAATCCCAATGATACAATTTTTCATAACTTTTCAACCCCCCAAATCAACCCTCCGCCGCCCCTGCTCACGCATTTATTTTTTTTTAGGTTTATTATAAGCCCTTTTACCATTTCCACTTAAAAAAGTTCAGGTACCTAACAATTTTTTTTTCTCCAAGTGTAATTTGGTTGGACTATAAACAAAATATATGACGATATCAAAAAGAAAAAAAATCACTAACAGATTTCTATAAAAATTTTTATGTCTTCGGGTAAAAAATAAATCATGGTTTTAAGGCACTTTTTCTTATTATCCTATATTTTATTTGTGGGAAGTAACTTCTTAAGTTCGGTTCTTCCAAGTTTTCCAAAGATTGTCCCTTCTTCAAAATATTAGTTTTTGTCCATGGCTGCACTTCAGAATAAGAGTCTTTTGAATATAATATGATATAGGGATTATTTTTCTCAATTCTAAGGACCGTAGCTGATTTTCACTCATTTTTACTTAATAAACAAAAATCGTTTGTAAACGTTAGCTAACATCAACTCACTGAGAGATGGCGAGTGGTACTTACAACCTTTCACATGAAATCTTTTGACGTAATTTGTGAGCCTTAAAATTACGGTAGGCATATATTCCCTTGGACATGCGGCAGGGCACATACAACGTTTCTAAGGCAAAACCTCAATATATCAAAAAATGGCACTTACCCCCTTTGACACTTCCACGCTTCAATTGTTACTTTCTAAATTAGACATAAATAAAAAAATTAAACAATACATTATTTAATTAATCATAATGCTTTTTGATATCACTGTTTAACTGATAAAATCCTACTGGTTATAAGCACTTCACTATGTACTAAATTAAAAGAGGCACCTTTATACTGATTAAATGAGTATAGTAAATGGGGAAAAAAACATATCACTTGGATTCAAATGTTTTAAACTAATTATTTTCCTGAAAGGACAGTAGTTATTACAAAAGAATTCTTGAAAATAATAAAAAAAAACCTGTTACAGATAAAAGAGAATTTATACAGTTCTGGCCATACTTTGATTATAAGGCATAGATGAATCTATAATACAAAAATGCTGCTATTTTTAGGGTTGCTAAATATGCAAAGATATCTAACCCCACAGACTGATGCTGATATTGCGGGAACCAATTATTTTATGGTCTACATGTCCCAACTAGTATTGAATTATACTATGACAATACCTAGTAATAAAAATACCCAAAATAAAAATTATATAACTATACTAGCTGACCCGGCAAATGTTATTTTGCCATCTTGTGGAACTGTGGATGGAACAAAATAATATAAAAATCGCGATTAAAAATCAGGAGTTGATCGTATAAGGGTGAAAATTTAGAACTGTATGTATTTTTCAATGCTGAATCATGAAAAAATAAAAACAGAAAATTTTGTCCAAAAAATAAAAAAAAAAATTTTGGGGTGGACCACCCTTAACATTTAGGGGTATGAAAAATAGATGTTGGCCGATTCTCAGACCTACTCAATATGCTCACAAAATNTTTTTTCAAATGTAAATCTTGTCTAAATCTTAAAAATTATTATTTTGTAGGTCCTATTAGAAATCGCTGATGTTAAGTTTTACATAAGATGGAGGAACAGAAGGTTTACGATGACAAAGAAGAGCATGGGTATAAAGTCAATCAACCAGAGGAAATATAATTACAGTAGAACCCCGATTATCCATTTGCGGATTGTCCGGGGTGCGGATTATCCGTGCTATGTCTGGAAATTTGTGGTGACGCATTATTTTGTTTTTTTGTTCAGGAAAGACCATATAACATCATGTATTGTGGCTAACACATTCACAACAATTTTTGATGTCTTGACAAAGACTAATCACGTAAAAAAACAGCTAGGTACTACAAAGAGATATCTTTGTTTCATTTTACTTAAGAATGTTTCATCAGGCATCAAACTTTTTGAAAAAATTACAATTTGACTATTCAAAGCTTTTGGACATGATTAGATCTATCATAATTGTTTTTTTCTGTCTAAAAATATATTTGCTCTTTTTACAAAGTTTCAAAGATTAATCTCCACCATTAGAATAGCATAAATACTGGCACCTTGTTTGGTATATTGTTGGCAGCGTTGCAAGTTGCGCTGCCGGCATTTTAGTGTGACACCAGTGTGTAAGTCGACAGTCAAACATGGATTTACTCCAGTGTGGTCTAGTATACTTATAGTTCAACAGTTTATCGTTTCTCTCGTTTGATTCAATATATTAATGACTTATAAAAGCCATAAACCATATTTTTATGTTTATGTGTATGAAACTTGTTTATAAAACTTAGTTTAGTCACAAGCAATATTCGTATGAACTAAGACGAAAAATCCTAGTCAAATTAGTCACTGTTTGCATATAAATGAAATGTCATCCTGACAATTCCCAAATCTGGATATCTCGCAAATTTTAATACTGGTGTTACTGGATACGAAATTATGCAAAAAAAATCGATATTTCATCGTTCAGAAAATATATCCAACAGTTAGGTACCGAGATGCGATCAAAACAACTGTTAAAATTTTAATCTGACTGTCAACTCTGTTTTAAATGCACTAGTCAAACTATAGTCTAAAACTAATACCCAACAAATGTCCTCCATTTTCATTCACTCTAATACACATAAAATATTGGAACAATTGTTTGTGATACTGAGACTATGAAGACATTTATGCCATCATTCTATCTCTTTTTGGCGTATAACAAATAATTATTAATTCACGCCCGCTGCAACTGTCTTTGATATTAGAACACACTCGTGACGTAATGGCAATCTTAAAACGGTTCTACTTTAACAGTAAAGCTTCATTTAACTTACACTTCAGTTTTATGAATCTACTTTAAAACTCATTATTGTACAACCGGATCTTAAGTTACTTTAATTTAAAGTGCTAAATATAGGTTGGTACCACAGTTAGTAGTACGTTATGGTAATATTTAACCTCATTCATAAAAGTTTAAAGTTAGTCATTAAAATCGTCTTATTGTAACTCACTGAACTAAATTCTACATTTTCGATCACATTGAATTATTAAAACGTATTATGTAATTTTTGTATTAAAAATGGATTATTTTTATTTCTTCTTTACAAAAACTGTTGCATTTTATTATTAATTATTTAGAACACATGAAAGTGCTTGGAAAAGACTGTAGATATATGTCATATTAATCATTTTTTTATTGCTTAAGTACTTTTTAAATAAAATAATAATTTATCTTTGTACTACTGTACTTAGTTGTTACGTGTCATTAAAGAATAAACATCCTAAATCATTTTCAGTAATGAGAGAATTACAGAATACGAATAGTCAATTTTCATCAAATTTTGAATATTTATAGACAACCAGTAATCACCCTATATTGGTAAAAATGTTTGTAACAGGCTAGACCAGTACAATTTTTACAAATAGATGTAAACTCGCACTGACGTTGATAAAGCTTGTCTGTTACCTTTGGCTTTGAAAACACGGTTGCTGTCAAAAAAGTGCAACTAGTTTTCCTTTGGACCGTTATGCTCACTTGAATAACTGTTAGTTAACTTCCATGCTTGCATGGTAAACCTATGTAATGGTTTTATTATATAAAATACTATTACAGCTCTTGTTATGTAATATAATATACAGAATATGTTAAAAGTGGTATCCCTGTGTCTCAATACACTTTTCGGTACTTCTCACACATTCTCTTAAAGATTCCTGTATTTTCATTAACCGCTGACAGTTAATCAAAAAAGTCAAGAGATCACTTTTGTGATTAAAAATAGTTTGTATTTCACAAATATTTTTATTCACCGACACAATTTTGCATTCCTCATATCTGTAGCCACTAGTTTGAGCTGTGACTTGATTGACATGATTTATTCATGTTAAATGTCATTTTATATATTTTTTATTGTACGCCCAAAATTTTGTTTCAATATTTTCATTTATTCAAAAGAATATGTATAATTATTAAATAATAAATCTGTAATTGAAAAATCCCTCTACTATTTGATCATGTATATCATCATGTATATCATTCATTCATACCAGTAAAATATTAAATTCATCTTATTTACTAATATTTTGTTTCAGGTTGTTAATGTTCTGTTCTTAGAAATAGAATATCAACTTAGATGTTACCCCCTGGTCTTAATGCACTTTTAATATTTCTACAAATTGTTTTGAAATTGTGAAAATAAATTACGTGCACTCCGACTCCTTAGGAATTTCTTGGGTAAAAATGTTTTTTTTTTTTCATTTTATGTGTTGATTGAGGATCTCTGTAGATACTAAGAGTAGTGTTATTAAAGTTTTATTATTTTCTCGATTTTTTACCTTTCGCTAATTTACAAACCCAAATTAATTATAGAGAATATTTTGTGTTGACTTCATATAATATTTATTGAAAATATTTAATATTTTATATATAAAAATTGTTACCTTTAATTTATATGATGCCATTATTTACCTTAAATTTTCATATGTTTACTCAAATATATTTAGTATAACAAAGTATATTATATATTTCTTAATTCTAATATGTATTATAATTGTAAGGGAAGGGAAATCACTTGTAGTACCAATTAATAATAAAAAAAGTTATTGGTTAATTCATTTATTTGTCTCTTGCCCTTGTCTTTATTATTTATTTATACATTTTTATCCTATTTTAGATTCCAAACATTTAATATCCCTTTTTCACCACCAGTTAGTAGAATGTTTATCTGCAACAAATATAAATTTAAGAAACAATTCAAGTATGTATTTGCATATAAAAAAATATATCTTAACTTAATACGACATGTACATGCAGAATGAAAGCAACGAATTCCTTGGATTCGCAATACATCATTGTTCACATATGAATTTGAAACTTCAAATATGTGATGATATTTTATTTGCTTTAACCACAATTGATTCACTTTTAAGTGAACAACTGCTCTTGTTGAATATATTCCCATTGATTATACAGGATATCAAGTACAGAAGTGACATACTTCAAGAGTAGCTGCTATAAGTCGGAATGAATCAGTTTAGATTAAGTTATTCTTGTATAATAATTTTGTTACTTTAAAAAGTAATAGATCTTCAAATAAATGTGTTCAATTTTTATATAATTCCCTCACTTTTAAAGATATTTCAATGATATTTGATCAGTGGGAGTTTTTCAGGTAACAGAAAATTAATAGACCTTATTTTTTTAAATATTTTTTTGCCATATTTTTTTTGCTATGAGGTTTTGAGAAAATGAAGATGTTTTATGAAACTAATTTATTTTCTCTAAAAAGATATACTTGTTGCATGTCGCTAAAATGGAGGAGGAATGGTTCTAGATAAAAATGGATTTTAATTTTTTATAGCAGTCATCAGCTACAGCCAGCTGAGTGTTTAGGGTATTTTAATCTAATTACACTGTATTTTTTTTACTAAATGCAACTGAATTAAATATTTTTTACTGTTTAGACCTACTGGAATATAAATTTAATTTCGAAGTATAACATTCAAAAACCTGTTTAAAGGCTCAGGCTTATCTCAGCAGACACTGACTTTTTTGCACAAGTACATTGGTCTAAATGTCAATACCTACTTAATTTAGGTGCAAATTTAGCAAAGGAGTGAAGTTTACTTGTATTAGAATACATACTTTTAAATATTCGTCCTAACTGTAGTATAAAAATAAATAAGGACACCGACGTTCATAGATATTTCAAAGTGGGATAGTTCCCGTGCTATTAAAAATAAGTGATATTTTAGTAATAAAGATAATGTAGAACGCTGAGACCAGCTGCCATATTGCCAAAACTGAGCTAGACCTTGATGTAACTGTTGAATACACTAGCAAAGAAGCGTGCCAAGGTTCCAAGGCAGGAGATGCTAATTAATTTGGTAACAACTCGACAGCGGCAACTTGATGATTTAATACGTCAAACCAAAATGGCGACCTTTCCAGCATGGTCTCCTCAGCGTTTTGCCACCGCCCAACGTAGAAGGAAGCATAAGTGCGGCAGTGGGCCTGTGTCGCTCATGCGAAAATGTAATTTAAAATTACCAATTATAATCTAAGAGCGCATACTTTATGGAAGTTGCGGCAGTTTTTTTAGAGGTGCAGTCAGTCATATAGTTTCGACATAGATTTGACAGTATACTATGGATAGAATGTAGAGGAAGAGGGTAAGGGCCAGGATGTAAAATAAGATGAAATTAGCCTTGGGGAATTTGCAAGCTTAGCACGAGCGATTTCCAATAACTATGTGATTTTGCATATAGATTTGACAATATATTTTTTTTAATTGTTGTATTACTACCAAACAGAATCAATTTCACAATCAGAAATAGTTATTTTTAAAATCAATGTCTCACAATTTGTATCTTAGGTCACATGACTACAGTATACTGTCAAATCTATGAGTTTCGAGATAGTATTGACGCATTGTGCATCCTTTACTAAGTCAGAATAAAAAGTGTTGAATTACATTGTTTTACAATACCTCTAACCCTGAGATCCGGCTAACATATTTATTTTGAATTAAAACTATTGTCTTTTACCAACAAAAATACAAGTAGTATAAGGTAAATATTTGTATCTTAAAGTGTGCTCAGCAGTGGCGTAACCAGGGGGGGCTTTAGCCCCTCCCCCCCAAAGATCCGTCGCGCAATTTTTATCATAGTCGTAGCCGCTGGCGCACGGACGGACAGTCAAGATTCCTAAAGAGACAGGTTACCTGACTTTCTACGTCACTGGGTATGCCGATCGCATCGCGTACCTACTTGATAAATGCATCGCGGTCTATCATAATTTGTGTTGAGCTGAGAGTCTGTACTTGGTAGTCTGTGCTGTACATGTTTTGTGGTTATGCATTTGGATTTTTGCTATTTTCTGTTGTGATTTTTGATATATTTTTTGTGATAGAGTCTGAAAATGTTTATACTCCGCGATCGAAATTATAGAGTGACTAAGACATAATATAAAAACACTATTACCATAATGCGTATAAAATATAAAATTATTTTTATATGGTTCAATATTATTTATCTTTGTGCCGCTCGCTACGCACATCGATAGAATCTATAATCGTTGTAGAGACCGAGTTACATTGAACGTCGATCTATATTCTATCTCTGTCTTTTGCACTTGGTAGGGAATAGGGAAATGCTTTTTTAGTGGGTGTAAACGGATTTGATTTAACCCGTCCTGAGAAACGTCATAGCATAAGCGTAGACGAGGGGTCTAATTCCATGGCTATAATCAATTTATAAATTAAAAAAAATTGGGACGTTTTAAAATGCTGTAATAATTAAAATGGATATCAAAGTGCCTGTTATAGCAAACCGTAAAAAATATTAGATGTTATGTTTTATTATCTTTTTTCATTATTTTCTATATCTTGTTGCCTTTTAGGCAGACACGCCAATGGATTTTCTACACTTTTATTTTAAGTTACCAAATATACTATAAAAGAACAATACATTATAAATACAGGGTGTCCCACCACGAACTCCATCGACGGATATCTGGGAAACCGCTCGAAGGATTTTTTTGAAATTGTGGTGGTGTGATGAGGCTTAAATATTTTCAAGGTCATCGTACTTCCGGTTACACCGCAACTCGATACTAACGTTCTTATTTTAAATGTAACCCCCTGTATATTATTGCATTTTTGCATCTATTTTTAAGTTGAAAATATATAGCACACTCCATACTTAGGATTGACCGTTTCATAGATATTTTGATTTTTAAGCAAAAATTGACAGATGCAGACTGTCAGCAAAATTTAGTTTTCCCGGAAATATAGGTTAATTTTTTGTGCAAATTGGACATTTTGTAGATAAAGACCTAATTTATCGAATTTGACATGAAAATTTTGCAGTTTTTATACAGGGTGGTCAAATTTTTTTTATCGAATATGAATTTCAGAAAATGTGGAAAACTCGAAATTTTTAAATGGAAACCCCTAATTTTTAACGTATTCACATTCTGCACTAAAATTAAGTGTAACTTTGTTAAAGTTTCCCTATACCTAACCCAGTGTTTTTCATTTTATTTACGAATAAACATTTCCCTTTTCTTAAAATGATGTTTCCATTTGTTTCGCATATTTTAGGTTGGCCGTGACACGTAAGTAACAATCAACATGACAACTGTCACAGGTTTTTAATTGTCAAATTTACTTTAATAAATGTTCAAAATGTCTTCCTTCAACTTCTCAACTTCTAAACATTTTTCACACCCTCGAATTAGTTCCTTGTGGGTCGCTGCTCTAATAGAATCTGGTGATAGATGCTCAAATGCTTGCCTTATGCATACAATTTTCCTTTATTGTTACGGGAGTAGGTACTATACACACTATTTTTTAGTGTCCCAAATAAAATAGCATATATCACCGGATTCTATTAGAGCAGCGACCCACAAGGAACCAACTAAATTTGACAATTAAAACCTGTGACAGTTATCATGTATGGTATCATACATGAATTATATACAGGTACACCCTGGATACGGTTTTTGAAAGTCAGGTCCAAACAACACTAAGGTTTCGCAGAGCATTTTCTTTGTATTATAATTAATATAACTTTTGTAAGGATACAAAAGTCTTAATGCATTATACGATCTTTGTATCAATTTACTAACGTTTTCTAAACCTTAATGACCGATCCTTAAACCCAGATTTATAACGCTTTCAACAATTATTGATCTTGAATCTATCCAGTGGCGACTCGTGACATTGAGAATAGGTGAAGCATATTCATTGATTGACTAAAAAGAAAAAAAAAAGCGCGGCTGGTGAAAATTTTCAAATTTTCAAGGTCAAATGGCTTTAAATGAATCTAAAAAATTTTTTTAGTTTCATTTGCAATATTAACGAAAAACTGACGTTCGTAAGAAGGATTTTCATTTAGATTTTATAAAAAATAGAATTATTAGTTCGGCTTGTGGACTTCTGCAAACATTAACGCACACCGTACATGTATGTTCCAAAGAAACTTTGTGGTTACGACAGCCTCGCGTGACTTTCCCAAAATTGTTAAATCCCCCCTTATTCCACACGACCGACTTTACACCCACAATTAAACACAGCATACAGAAAAGTTTTTTTAAATGCACACTTCCACACAACCACTTATACTCCGAATACCAACTAAGAACCCTGATAATTGTGCACTGAGTTATCTATTGTCTCTGCATATAACCTTTCACGGTTGCCAATGGCGATTTGATTTTATGTATTGTTTACAACTGGTACACAACAAACTCCGAGTACCACAAAGAAACTATTTCTTGACTACATTGGAACACAATCTGAAATAGCTAAAAATTCATTTGTAACTACATATTTTGATAGCTGCTGAGTATGCTTTATTGAAATTTCGACAATCCTGCGATATTTTAGGGAAAAGCTGTGTTTCAGTATTTTTTCTCCTTCTGTGGTTCAAGGTTAAGTTCACAAATATTCATCATGCCGAGTCCTTCATCTAAGAAAAAATGTGATCACGAGGAAAATTGATCGAAAGTGTGTGCACCTTGTGGTCGAAAGATTGTTCCAGGAACAAAAAAAATCGAGCTCTATAAGATAAGTGAGAAGACTGCGGAATTGATTCGAAAACTGGTCAATGAAAAATTCAACCTGATGAACCCGAAATATCCCAGAGCCATTTGTACCACCTGTCGACATACACTCGCTGAGTCTGATCGCTGTTGTTTTAAGAGACCCTTACCCAAGATGCT